AATTTCGTAAAACTATAATAACAAGCGAAACATCGTCGTCCCATTTCGTGAAACTTTCTTAAAGATGTGATCAGTAGCGCACGATTTACAAGCCCTTTGTCATTGGGAATTGCTATTGTGGTGCGCGAACGCCGCCGGTCACTCCGTCGCCCACATAAAATATGGCGACGCTCCACATCCGAGAAGTAGAGCAAACACTTTCCTGTAAACTTCGGACGTTGTAATACTATCAATCCGCCCATAAATACTCACCTATAGATTTCTACATGTTAATTTACCACCACGAAGATTTATGAGGGTATACGCTGCGTACACTATTTTCCCATCAAATGCTGACAAAGAAAAATAGTTGCAGATAGAGCAGCCATGAAGCAGACAATATTAATACATCCGCTGGTTATTACACAAAAAGTTTACTGAGGTTTATCTACAATTTCTTGTTGCTTTTACATCCTGTGCGCGGCGGGCGGCGCGGCGCGGCGGCGCGAGCTAGTTCGCCCGTTCCTACAAAATAAAAGGCAAACATAAGCATAATCTTGCGCCGTGTAGAGGTCAGGCGTGCACTGCCCCGCATTGTCTTCCAATAACCGAGGAATAATACTTCATTCTGGCCTTTACCAGCGACGAACAAAGCACCCTATAAAGGGACCTACATTCTAAAATTGACACTATGAGACTAACACCCGGTTGTGAGCATTGTATGCAACTTTGTAAAGGCGGCACCGACAGTGTTAAACGTGTACATAAATAAAGATTGCACCGACGACGGTTCTTTATGGCCCACTACTTCCAGAATTGAAAACACAGTGCCCATACGTCTCCGTTGTCCTGAATGCCCTCTCAGTTGAGACTATTTACGGGAACAATTTGAAGTGGACGTTTAACAAAGAGTTATTTGTAGCATGTAAGTAAGTGCTTTTAAACGTGGTGAAGGTTTAAAAATAGACGGGTGTAAAGTTGGTCAAGGTGTGGGTCGATGCATCAGCGAAATGTGCAGATAACGGTGGACCTTGCCAATTAGTGCTACACGTAAATGTAGAGTGCTTAGGGTATTCACTCGTCCGATATAGGTAGCAAATTAGTACATGCAATTTATACAACGCCGTTAAGATTCTAGAGCAGGATAACATGCTCCTAATGTGAATTGAGCATAACAAATTAGAGGAAATGTATTTGAATCAAGCTATTTCAATGTGTGCCAACCGTAATATCGTATATGTTACATGAACATGAACCGAGGCGAACTACAAACTAGAAATAACATTCAAAAACTCAACTCATAATGTCATATACTTATCTAACTAAACTAAACGCGTTCTTAATCTTTATGCCTTTTGCAATTCGGCTACATGTCAGTAGTTTACTAGATCATTATGACATAACTTGCTACTTCGAACACGGCGTTGCACCGTGTGAAAAAACAAACGACGATTACCTGCGCATATCGCACCTCAGAGCTTATGCTCTATATGCATATAGATGCACACGGCGTATATTATACGCGCTGACGACGCGCGTTTCATGAACGCGCGTTTAAGGCGCTGTAATCGCGCGTCATCTGAGCGTATATCTTAACATAATGTGCGACATGTACGCGCGACTATAGCGCGTCTGCGGCACTTAAACGCGCAGATTACGCGCGTTTACGAAGCGTAAACGCGCATCGTAGGCGCGTATAAAATAGGCCGTGTGCATAGGCTTTTAATCGAATTACCTATCTTTTGAAGTAAGTATGTTCGTTTTTGTTTATTTCAAGCATTTAAAATTAGTAGATCTATATAACTTTTCATCGCGGAATCACGAGTATAGTTACGCCACTATTCATTTGTCACGACGCACCTCTAGTTCCTGAACGCCTATTCGAAGTAAATTGTATTACAGTGTAGCCTCGGAAAATGTGCCATCGTTGGCTCTGCTTTATGGCAGTGTAGCCTGCAGCGTTGAATCCGTGCACTCACCACGGAATTAGTTGCATTCACTGTCATGCCAACTATCTGCTAGCGTCGGTTTTGTATATTTTTTGACGTTTTCCTATAGGACGACTTTCAGTGATTACGTTTCAGTGACATACCACACCAATGAGGTTTAAAATAATTGAATGGAATCGGTTTAACACTATTGAAAGTCAATGTAGCAGCTCTGATCCCCGACCAAGTCGGGAAGATTCATAGCAAGCTTTGTGTGATTCACGCGCAGTAATTTAAGACGTAAAATATGGTGCGAGGATATATTATGATCTTTTAGGAATAAACTTTAGCTATGATGGTTCTCAAACTTGCGAGATCTTGCATATGTAAATGTTCACCGAAATGAGTTAGTATATGTATGAATGTTCATATTGATATTCACCCTTAGATAAGGAATTGATTAAGGACATGTCGATTATAAAATCGTCATCATCACCAACGTATTAATACGTCCCACTGCTGGATTTGATCGATGAGGCAGGAGTTGATCGGTCATCAAAAAGGATTACGAATTTTTCAAGATAAATGTTATTCAAAAAAGTTTAGGAAACGTCCTTTTACTTAATAAAAGCTCAAGCGAAGTAAGGGAAGCGCAAGAGCAAGCAATTTATGGATGTAAGAAGATTGCTTCATGGTGCGTCCGCTGCCGCCGGCCGCCGGCGCGCGCGTCGCCCCGCCCTATATAAATTGCTACGATTTGTGATACCTAAACTGCTCTCGGGTTTTAGCAAATCGTTATAGAATCAGATTATACGCTAGCAGTTTGCGCTGACGCGTTTATGTTACCTATAAAGATGAGTAGTAATAAATAAAAGGACTTTTAATTAAATAAGTTATAGGCACACTATACTTAACGGGAACGTTACAGTTAATTTTTATAAGTAGGTGGTCACAGTCATAAGCACCTTGTCAGTCAGGCTAGCATTGATAAGAACTGTCAACGCCTAGGCAATCGGGTTTACTATTGAATATTTGATTTATATCGGACATCAAGTCACTTTATAGACCGTTAAACGTTTCAAAGTGTCCGATAAAGAGGAAAGCAGAAAGACGAATGGTCGATGTATGTAAATCCGTCGGAAGTGCCGTGTGAATGAGGACAGCACACAATGCAGCCATCGCTTATGACTATGAATTGTATTATGTTTATGTCCAAGCTGGCCAGGAAACTGTATAGACATTTACCATAGATATATGTAGGTTTATAGTGTCTATGACGATATTCTGAATTACCACTAAAGTACATGCTTGTTATAAGATAGTTAAACAGGTTGAGGGAAAACTATCAAAGTAGTTTTGTTGTGATAAATGTTAGTTCGACAAAAACCTAATAATTTTGTACAAAGCAACCAAGTTTTCGCTGTTCCTGCTTTGGTCACATCATATCTTTTTTTAAATCTTTTTTTTTGTAGGTGTAGACAAGAAGGCTACTAAAGAAGGTAGATAATATACAATACAATAGAAATATTCTTTATTGCACACTGGGACAAATACATAATAACACAAATAAAAAGACTGGTACAACAGGCGGCCTTATTGCTGTATAGCAATCTGTTCCAGGCAACCTACGGGTTACGGAAAAACTGTAAGATAGTAATTAATTGAGGGCGCAACAGAATACATATTTAATACACATATTGCACATACACAAGTGAAAAAAAGAATTTGTAATAAAAAATAGTATAAAACAAATATCCAAAATAATAGTAATAAATAAATAAAATACAAAAAAATACATAATTATAATGACATAAAATGGAAGTTACATTATATAAAACATAATAATAACAACACATAATATTTTACATCGCAGCTTTACTATAAACTTAACAGCTAGCTGTTTCTTGTAAAACCGCTTTAAGGTTAACACCTTACATAAAACAGTAAAAGTTACTGCTAGCTTAAATGTCGCTTCGTCTAAAACTTTATAAAGCTCTTTTTAAAATCTTCGCAAGTTTCTTCATTTTCCTAAGTTAACCAAGTCTCTGGCATATAGTTGCCACTAACACACATTGCATTCACCCAATAATACAGTGGCATAGTTTACATTGAACTAGGCGCATGCAGTTATTTTAACCAATGGAAAGATTGGTGTCTTATCGATATCTCCAACGAACACTACGCCAATTTTATTTTTCGGTTATTTTGTGTTATTTTTGTAAACAGTCATATTTATTTATTAATATTATGCTTCCCGAATTTTGTGAAATAAAAATAAAAAACTAAATTCGAAAAAAAGACAAAATAACTAATTTTGTGAAAAAAAAGAAACAAAAAGCAAATTAAAAACAGAGATGACCAAAAAATTAAACGTAGTGTTCATTGGAGGTACCGTTATTCTCACTAAAAGTTAGCAAAACATAAATGCAACTCGCTGCCTTTATTCAATAACGCGAAATGGCACAATTTGAGCTAAGTATACAGCGACGAGCAGAGCAAGCGAAACATTGTCGGGAATAAAGCACCCATATTCTGACGTCAAAAAATTCTTACGTCAAAAGTCTGTATGCTTAACTCAAATTCTGCAATATTGCGTTATTGTGTAACAAATAAAAAAATTAACTACGTGGGTTTGGGTCACTATTCTCAAAAAGCAGCGATATATTCGTGTATGTTAAGTTGCCGTGAACCGGCATTCTATTTTAACGATTGTTCGGATATTAAATTAAATAATTTCAATCAATAGTCAGTCGAAAAATAACGAATGAAATTAAACCATTAAAAATACACAACTAGATGCTGTTAGACAAGTTTTCGGTGTTGAATAGTAAATTATAGGCTTCGAAAACTATTTTGGGGCATATCTTTTTAGAGAAGTCCATAGTTTTTTTCTAGAATTTGCAAGAATTTGGGTTGTGTGTAGTGCAGACAATCATTCTAGCTCTATGGAGGTTGAAATCATTGACTTTAAAATATTCTGATGCACAATAGGATGGTGAAAGTTCCGGGAAATACCTGTCGTAGACATTCAGGCATATTTTTGGAACAATGAGAAAATATTTTTGTTATTTACTGATGTATCTATGTACTCACGTTGCCGAGGAAGCCGCTGCAGGGTTGTATGGGCGGCGGCAGCGGAGGCAGCTCTGGTGTGCGACGTGGAACGTCGGTCTGACCCATGCTTCAGGCACTGTTCATTTCTATCTGAAAAGATATATACATAGAATATAGAAGCTAGTACAATCAATAAATGGATAAGTACAACTCAGTTTTCTTCAATGGATTTTCCCCCTTAATTAGCACTTATGTGTTGCCTGCTCAATCACCTATTCAGTGGCAGCCCAGCGGTTAATTTTTCGGGACTTAGATGAATATCTTTCCGGGTCCGATTCCCAGCAGGACCAATTTAAAAACTGAACTTTTCTAAATTAGTTCTAATTCAGGATGTTTTATCCTTACTCATAGTATAGAGAAGAACAGTCAAGCTAGACACTTAAGATTTAAATTCAACAATGGTCCAAAGTGTCCAGTGTGACGTGCTCTTTGACAAGGATTATATGGTATTAGATAATCGGTATGATTTTCTTGAATATTATTAATATTACATTGGGCGCACTATACATTTCCGGAACTGGCCACTTAGATAAACAATATTTAAAAAGTAATTACAACATTTGAAAATGGAACTCTTTGGCTGTAGAATAAAGTTTGTTTCATCTGACTGTCACTTGTTTTTACATTGTGGCGTCATTTTAGAAATTGGTTGTCTATATCACCATGGATTTAACTCATGAAAATTTTCGTAGTACCTATGGTTTTCTACGACTTTAACAGTTTAAGTGGAATATAACACCTCAGCGGAGTTCGCTTGGCTTCAAACTGCTTTTGGCGATGAAGCACCATGCAAGACGACTATTTATAGCTGGTTTGCAGAATCCAAAGGCGGTCGTGTAAATCTCAGTGACGAATTTCGTGATGATCGCCCGCCCATAAAAATAACCGCAAACGCCGTATCATCTTGCACCACGATAATGGCAGTTCTCACACAGCCAGACAGAGAAATGAATTCTTGATTAACGTTGACCTTATGAGCCATCCCGCGTACAGTCCCGACCTCGCACCTTGTGACTTTTATTTATTTCCAAAAATTAAGAGTCAGTTACGCGGTCAACGATTTTCATCACCTGAAGAGGCTGTCGAAGGCTATAAAAAATATGTTTCAGAAATTGTCACGGAGGAGTGGCATAAATGTATTCAAAATTGGTTCATTCGTATGAAAAAGTGCATTTTTTGCTAACGGAGAATATTTTGAGAAACAATAAATTCATTTCTGACCTTTTACAAGATTTTATTATTCATTCTGGAAATTTATAGTACGCCCCACGTATTATTCACGCATATTAACTCAATAGTACGTTGGTAAAACATCCGCGTTTTTATTAGGCGAAATAAAAAAAATAAATGTAAATTGGTCTGTTAACTTTATTTATGATAATTTATTACATTTATACCACATATTGCTATCGAAAATTTCACAGCTAAAGTAACTGAAAGGAGTCTCTCTTTATTAAAAACCAATGATTTACAATCTGTGTAATAACAGTCATGGACGAATATGAATTTTGTTTGTTTTTACAATGAAATTAACTTTAGACCGATCAAAATTATAGATAAATCTGGTAATTTGAAATGGAAATTAACAGACATGCGAATAGCCGCCATGAGCGCAAGAAGATGCAGAAATGAATTCTCTACCTATAGTAACTTTACCGTCAAAGCCCTCAAACGTTATTTCGATAGAATCAATTTCTGTTTATCGCCAAAACAAGTAATACCCGCTGTATTGGAAGATCGCGGATGTATTGTGGTGGTATGGTATGGAAATGAGCAAACGGTTTTGGCGAGGTCGTTTGTTCACCTCAGCACATATAAAAGTCAAATGCGAACGAGTTTGGAATTCATCTAATTCCTATATGTGGCTATTATGATACGTATAAATATAATACAAGGCTTTTCCACTTGGAATTTAAAATATGGCGTAAAAAATATGTTAATTGCTTTTTCTTTATGTTTTGTAAGAGTTCGTCCAAGAAAGTATACTGCCAAGATTTCTGCCGCCAAGCAGTAATATGAGCATTGCTGCGTTCCGGTTTTGAAGGGTAACATTGCTGGTGTAATTGCAGGCGCAATGGTAGTGCCCTTCAGATCTTTGTGTTTTAAAGCTCTGAGTGACGTTGCTATGTAAGGCGTCTCGTTTACCACCATCACCAGGCGCACGATTTGTCCCTTCACTTGGTATCCTAAAAAAAACCTTATTATTATTGTTTGCAAATGTTTGTTTATGACATGTGGGTTTAGGAAATCGAACATTATTGAAATGAAATTAAATTAAATATTCTATAACGCACATTAAAAATACAATGACAACATGAACAGTAGCGCAAGTATCGCAGAGTAACATAATGTACAACAGGCGACCTTATTGCTAAGTAGCAATTTCTTCCAGGCAACCTTAGGATAGAAATTTAAGCTTTGGAAAAGGGGGTGCAATCAAAGAATTATTATAAGAATAGATCTAAGCTGATCATTTTGCTAAGATTTTCATCCAATGAATACTTATTATTCATATGTACGAGTACATATTACATCCCGTGTAAATGTACTAAATATTTTTCAGAAAAAAATAGGTGTATTATCCAATATGGAAAATTTTTCCACAATCCAACACTATGTACCTTTTTAAAATTCAATGTACAAAAAGGTAAAATAAAAAAATTGTAAATACAAAATATTGACAAATAAAACGATGTCAAACAACAATGAGAAAAATTTTCCATGTATCATTACTATCGAGAAAAAATTAAATCTCATTATTAACGCACAACACAAACACTTCCCATTTTTTTGTACATCGTTATTTTTTTAATAATATTAATTTTCTGGTTAATTGAACAACAGTTGTATTCGGTTCGGTCAATTTCGTACTCTAATATATGCCCACGCATTTTTGTTACAACCTGTATATGTACAAAACCGTTTCTTATCTGCCGGCCTTTACTGAAGAAATAAATACTGTGGTAATTGTTGTTAACCTGCATTCGATATCGATATAGCTCATACTCGGAACTGTCGCAAGAGAAAGGTACAAATTAATGAGACTGTGGAAAGGGCCTTTCTTTACGCACGCCCACCGACCTGTTAAAAGAACATGTAATAAATAATGGATATAAATCGAAAAGTGAAGTTTCGCCTGCATATAAGTTGCAGATACTTAGTAATATCATATTCGGATCGTTTTTCTTTGTTACCTAAAGTCACGGGACTTTAATTACTCTTTAAATATAAAATGAGTGCTAATAAATGAACATAATGAACATTAATACAAAGAAATAATTCAATATAGCACCTCTGTTACGGAACAGAGGGGCTATATTGAATTATAGTATTTATGTTCATTTAGTAGCACTCATTTTCTACTTAAAGAGTCATTAAATGTGATTTTTTTATTTTGATCAAATCTATGAAAATTAATTTAAGGAATGAATAATATAACGTCGAGGCGCAGGTTTTGCACGCTTCCCATCGCAGCGAGACTTACTTTGCATTCAAAGATATACTAACTTCATTTTCTAGTGTTGAAGTTCTGTTATACTATACACTCTGCGCTTCCCGTGCCGATGACAGGCGCGTCGCGGAGTGGCTTTACTCTTTTTTTCAAAAGAAATGTATATTTTATTTATTAAAGTCTGTTCCAATCCATTGTAGCAGAAAAATAAACAAACAGATCATTGACCCGACCATGGACAATTTAGTGATGGCCAACTGAACTGCCAACTACAAATCGATTAATTAATTGAATTAATCGATTTGTTTAATTGAATCAGATGGAATAACTGGGTTTTATATAATAAAATGGGTTTTGCGATTTCGCTGTTGATTAGTGTAAAAAATATGTAATTTAATACTGAATTTTTGTTTCTTATATAACCTATAAAAGCCTATAAAACCAAATAAATAAAACCTATAAAATTTAAAATTTCCTAGATCTAATTTTAAAGTCTCCTTCAAATCCTTGGATTGTGATTAAATTTTCGATTCACTAATCGATCGACGAAAATCTTGAATTGAATGAACCGGATGAGTTATTTCTATACAGCCCTATGCAAACATAGACTATTCACAAGTCTATACTTGAAAAATAACCTCACTTTTGAAATAACATTTTTCAAATTATGTTTTAATATGTTGTTCAGATGAATATTGCTGGAAAAAGTGATGAGATATCAAGACGAAATCTTCAAAATATACATATGTGAAAGTATTATTATTCCATTTATTGAGTGATCGCTTAAGAGAGTCAAACGCGGTTTGTTTACTTTCCTGGCATAATGGATTGGAACAGATTTTAGAGTTCTATATTACATTGCATTTAATAAAGTACGGCCCAGCGCAAATCGACGCCGCCCGCCGCCGCTTACTACATCTTCTTTTTCATTTTTTCTTTAAAGAAATGTAGCCTTATCTTTTAGACTATAAAGTTTATATTGCATTTCTCGTGTTAATGAATTGTCGCATCGCACCACGCGGCTGCAGCAATGTGTGCCGACGGCTGATTTAATTACCAATTCACGATATGTCTTGTCATGAATTCCTGAAGTATTGTTGTATGGTGGTAATAATTTTAGAACACAACTGAAAATTATATAAAAATAATAATTTATAAAGCAATTAAACAATTAATTGAGAAACTATTGGGTGATTTATAAGATCCATGTGTGCGTGCCAAAGTTATTAGAATGCTTGTTACACTACCCGTTTTCAAAGGCCCTGCGTCAAGGGTGGGTGTGGTGCCTAGTTATAGCTCCTTAACTGTTATTAAACCTAAGTTATAGTTAGAGTACCTTAAAATTGGTTTAATACGGGTTGGCCAAAGAGTCCGTGCGGTTTTTGCCATTTGGTAATTTTAAGTAACTTTGTTACACGTAAAAATAATGTTTTAGCGCGCATTTTAAGAGTAGGCGGCTAAGTTTCAATATCAAAGTCCTTGAAAAATTCCCAGAAGTGGTAAATCCTAAAAATGTCGTATTTCATCATTATAATTCCAAACCACACACATCTTTAACAAAGGCGTCAACAACTCTTCTAGTTTGGGGTGTGTTACCTCATCCACCGTATTCACCGATATAGCTCTTTCAGATTTTAAT